AGAACTGCTGCAACCGAAGCTGCAGAGGTACAGAAGAAGCAAGTGATTAATTTTCCACAAGAACCACCTGCCCCAGCTCCAGAGTTCAAAATGAGGATCTCAGATGTTCTTTCTGGAAGCAACAAGGATTCCTCAGCAAGCGTTGCCCCAAAACACATAACGGAAGGCCAGAAGACCATAACTTTAGATACAGCCACTGAAATAGAAGGCTTGTCGACTGGTTGCAAGGTTTATGCAAATATTGGTGAAGATACCTATGACATAGTCATTCCGGTGAAAGATGAGGCTGATGGAGAAGTCAGGCTTGACGATGTGCCCAGAACATCAGGGGACGATCCTGCAAACAGAAAGCGTCTAAAAGTGAAACACGATGACCACTATGAGCTCATAATGGATGGAAAGGTCTACTATATCTGCATTGTGTGTCGAAGATCCTACGCTTGTCTAACAAGTTTGCGGAGACATTTTAATGTTCATTCCTGGGAGAAGAAGTATCCGTGTCGCTACTGTGATAAGGTTTTCGCCCTTGCGGAATACCGCACCAAGCACGAAATACATCACACTGGTGAGCGCAGGTACCAGTGCTTGGCATGTGGCCAGTGTTTTATCAACTATCAGGTCATGGCTACACATTTAAGATCAGTCCATAGCCAGGACCCTTCTGGAGATTCCAAGCTGTATTGCTTGCATCCTTGTAGGTCCTTGCAGATCAGAAATTATGCTTATATTTCAGGTGGTTCCAACAAAATACCAATGGTAAATGACAATAGTCTTGCATATCCAGTTGTCCCCGTAAAAGATGCCTCCCAAGAACCAACACCCACCCCTCCGGCAAAGCCAATGACCTGGGATGATATCTTTGTTCCACAAGGAAACGAATCGCTTTTTAAACAAAACCCATCAGATGGTAGTTCTGAATTTGAGTTTGTGATACCAGAATCTTACTGAAATTATGTCTGACAGAAACATTTCATGGGGAGGAGGGTAAAATTCTTTTTGAACAGGCTGCTGTTTTAGAACATCTCATAGTAAACCAGTTTATTGTACCTAGCCAGCAACAGGTAGTATTTTAAAGCTAGAATACTTGTAAGCTTCAGGTAATGTTGCTGCAAAAAAACGGTTAGAAAAAAACCCTTACTTGAATACAGGAAAAGGCATTTCCAGGGATGTTAACTGTTAATGTGCTTAGCTCGTTATAAAGGATAAACATTTGTGAAGTCATAGTTAGAAAAGTATTGTTTCTTTACAATAATGGAAACCTTCCCTAAGTACTTGCATAATAATTGGGGATGTTCCTTGTCCTTTGAACCACTTACTATGTAATTCTTTCATATTAGCACTTTAATGCTGAAAATCGTTTCATTGTCATTACTTGAGACTACAGATAGTCTCAAAATAGATTTGGAGTTTAGAATACTTTTTTCTTTCAATTAAACCAAATGCACTCCTTAGTGGTTGGCACAGTGCTGTGAGGGTCCAGTAATCTTGTCCATAAATCAAGTATGTTCCTTCCCCCCCCCCCTTTTTAAAGTGGCATTTTGGTCATGCTCTTCAGTTCCAAAACTACCATTTTGTCTTCATGAAAATGCTCATGATGTAAACTTTCACCCTTGGAGGTTGAAAATCCTTACTGTATGGTAAACTGATTGAATTTTATTTATACTTGGACTTTAAATATATCCCAGTGGCTGGACCATTGTATTTTCTAACATGGGAGGAGCCCTGTCAATCAAAATGTCAAATGACATTGAAGAAGAGCAATTTGCCTTCCCCCCCCCCTCCAAATGCTGAGGAATTACGTTGGCCTGTCTTTTTACTGAAAGTGTGTTGATGGTTCAGTTAGGTTGCTGTTTTCCCTTTTGGGGAAAAGTGTTTGACAAATAGAGTTTTATAGCTGATGGCTGCAGAAACTGATTCCCAAAGCTAAGCATTGCGAATGATGCTTCAGATCCTTATTGAATTTATTTTAGTTTTGGTTAGTTACTTTGAAACGTGCTAAAGCTTTCACTTAGGTAGGGGTTTTTGTTTTTTGTTTTGGTGAGGATTATTGCATCAATTGGACTCAGTGGAAAAATAAAGCCATGTGCTAACAGGTTCACATAGCTCTTAGGACATAAGCATGACAATTACTCTATAGCACTCTCACCAATTGGTCTTCCCCTTTTAGGTGTGTTGGTAATAGCAAAAAAAGGTCACTTTGAGCAAGAAATGGTAGCCCTGAATATAAATTGCTTACCAGTTTAGTCAGCCATATTTCACTGAGCAGCAACTTGAATTTTTGTATATTTTATAATGTAAAAAAAGCCCTTCTAGAGGACTGAAACGGTTGTGGTGAATAGAATTAGTTAGCAATCAGTGGGAAGCTGTTCAGTCTCTTCTTTCCTTCACTTTAGGATTTTTCCCCCTTCACATTTTTGAAAATAAACATTTTTTCATGTTCTGAGTAATCATTCCTTTACCTTATTTTTCTTTCTTTCTTTTTTTAAAAAAACACACTGCTTTTTCTGGCCAGAAGGTGAAATTTTGTTGTAAGGTAAATGAGTCAAAAGTAACAGTAAAAGTCAGTCAGAAATCAGTGTTTGTAGTAATGAAAGAAAGGTGAATTTGTTTGCGCAGGTGTAAAAAATGCAGTTCCTCTGTTCTTTTGACTGAGATTGCACGTGTATGGGTAGCGGTTTTTTTAATTCATTTTGTGAATTATGTTTTAAAATTGGCATTTTATGTTTAAATCATTGATCTGTGGAATTTTCTGAATTTGGTTAATTAGTTGAATTGAAGTTATGTATGCTCCCAGTTAAAGGGAGTGTATGAAAGTGTTTCCGCTGTTTTGAAGTTTCACTGATGTTTTATGACTTAACAAGACCTGTCTTAGGGAAACCGATATTACTCACCCACAACAAAAGAAAATCCTCCACCACTCAATAGAAAGGGAGGTTGATGTATTATTCGGTGCAAGTAAAATCTATGCTCCATTTCTAGAAAATACTGGTTATTGATATGACGTACTGAGACGTCTTAAAATCAGTGCCTGTTGAAGGTGTCCTTTTATTAAAGGAAAACTGGATAGGGTTCAAACCTGTGTGCTTTTGCTAAAAGATTCAGCCTCGCATGCATCTCAGGTTCCTAAGCCTTTCCTAGGAAGCAGGTTTCAGTATCCAAAGTTAAGAATTCTTACCAAGTGTATCTATATTTTTAAAAATCCTTTGCTTCCAGTATTTATGAGGTTGAATTATGCTGGACCCTTTCCATACCTTACCTTTTAAGTGACACCATACTGTTTTTACATTAACCATTTGTCTTCTGCTTTTGTAGAAATTTTTTTTTGCTTCAGCTTTTTGTCTCGTTGTTCACCCTTCTGTAAATATTAAGACAAATGGCTCTGGGAAGAAAATGTTTTGCATAAACTGTAAACCTAAAAACGCATTTGTACACAGCAAATAAATACTCATTTGCAGCATCCAGCAGGAATGCAAATATAAGCCCAGGTTCAGATAATCATTGTAGTATCTTGACATGCCAATTCCAATGTGTTCTACTTAGATGTAAACATTTGTTATTTCATTTGTTTCCAAATATGTTCTACTGCACTCTTGAGTCATCTAGACCATATCACTTTTGGCTGTATCCACAATTTTGAATGGTGGTCTGTATAAACAAAATTCCTGTGTGTAGAGAGGTTTAGCACAGTTTTGCTGTATGCTGGTTTACTGCATGCAGGTTGGTTTGGAAGGAAGAGGCATTCAAAGCCATGGTATGCCCCTCCTGTAAGTGAAGTGGTACAGTTCAGAATTCTACCACTTCAGTCTGTCTAAAGAGTTAAACGGCTCTTAGTTCATGGGGGCAAAATACAAATTTTTCTTCATGAGTTCTGCTAAGATAATTTGTATCACAGCATTCCAGTTCCAGAGGAAAATTGACACAGTGCTTATTTATTTCCTATCAAAGCATGCATTTATTTAAAGAGATGCAAGAGAGGGCAGTGGGTTATTCCACAATGGTTTCTACTGAGCTACGCCGAAGCATTACTTTTTTAAAGAAACAAAACCAATACAGTACTGTAATGTATATAACTTGTACAGTCTTTTCCTTAACATGCCTTCTAGGAATTGTGTTTTGCTTTTTCATTAACCAATACTTGACCTTAGTTCTTAGAGCTTTGTATGGTAAAAATAAAAGCTTTTAATTCTACCAAGGTGCACAAAGTTTCTTCTTGAGAACAAGACATCCATTGTTTGGGACCACCTTTTGAGGAGCTGTTGGCTTTCTGAAGTTCTATTTTGAAAAAGCAGACAAGGGTCTTCCAATTGTACAAACCTTGCAGTTTTAAATGGAAAGGCAGAGTATTTGTTTTATAGGCGTGTGGTCCAACATAAAACCTTTCAAACTCATTTTTGTGCAGGGTGTTAAATGTCTTTTTCAGTTTGCCCTTGTATCTACACAGGGGCCTAACAGTAGTGGGCAATGTGTTGCATGTAACTGGTGAGGCCAGATTAGCAGTGTGCATCAAAAGATGCACTCAGCCAGTTCTGGGGGATTCAGATGCTCAGTCTGGTGTAGTGGTTAAGTGCACAGACTAATCTGGGAGAACTGGGTTTGATTCCCCACTCCTCCAGTTGCAGCTGCTGGATGACCTTGGGCAAGCCATAGTTCTGTCAGAGCTGTTCTTGAAAGAGCAGTTTCTGTCAGAGTGCTCTCAACCCCACCTACCTCATAGAGTGTCTGTTGTGGGGAGGGGAAGGGATGCTGAGACTCCGATGCCGCATGAGTAAAAAGTTGCTCCCATGCATGCAGTGTCCTTGCTGGATTAGGGGCATGTCGATCCAGCCCAGTATACTTCTCTTCATTTTACTTGTTCATACAAGTTTCTGACGTTTCAACTTTAGGGAGACTTTTCCATATCAGCTTTCCTGAGAAACTTCTGTAGCACAGGGTCGGGCTACTGCCTGAGTTTGTTGGATTCCTCTGTTGCCCCATATGAACTGAGAATGCACCTTAGGAACACACTGAGACATCCAACAGCAAATTAAGGGCCCTTAAACTAAGTGCACATCACCATGTAGGAAATGAGAAGGCAACAAAGAACAGCCTGTACATGCAGGACATAAAATTAATTAGATTTCCCTGATTACTGGAATGGTCTTTGTTTCCCAATTCCCCCCCCCCCCTTAGTTGTTTCCCATATCCATCCTTTCATCCTCACCTGGATCTGGAAAACCAGCAGATAAGTTTAATTCAGCCCAAGACACTATGAACTAGGTAAATTTTTTCAGCACACAGGATACAGAGCAGGGTCCTAACTTTCCCATTGCTCTGGTTGTGGATGGGAGCCGCGTGGCATTTGAATGGCTGTCCTCTGATGGCCTCCTTTTGCCTCATCTTTTGCACCCGGTAGATAAGAACTTGGGAACCAGCTAACCCTGCTAAATCATTAAACTTTTAAACAAAAGTCTTACCACTTTTATTTTCATTTTATAAATTATCCAAAGGGCACATGACTCTCGTTCTCATTACACTGTCACAAGAAATGGATTTAAAGATGGAAACAGTGGACAGAGCTCCTGTAATTACATTTGAATGCACATACTTTTTGCCAAAAGCTGAAAAAAGAAAACTAGGAGTTGAAAAAGCAATGCTCGTTTCTGAGCCCCCCTGCCCTGTCCTTCTAAAAGCAACAAAGATGCTGTTATCCCATCTGCACACTGCTGTTAAAATGACCTTTCCCAATTATGCTGTATACCTCAGTAATACATTGCTGTCCTTAAACATTTCTACAAACTGTTTTTGGGATGACTCCTAAACACATAAGATGTTAACACTTTGACCAGTTTCAGCAAGATGGGGAGGGGATAAATGCCCAGGAAGGGCTATGGCTCAGCAGCAGAGCAAATGTTTTGCATGCAGAAGGTCCCAGGTTCAATCCCCGGCATCTCCAGTTAAAGGATCTTGGGTGACAAGTCAGGGAGGCCTCTTCTCTGCCAGAAACCCTGGAGAGCTGTCACAAGTCAAAGTAGATGATACTTAATCAAATGGATTCACTATAAGGCAGCTTCCTGTGTTTATTTTCTGAAGTAGAGACACCCATGGGGAAAGATGTAAGTGGTCCAGTCATTAAAATGTTTCCACAAAGCTCCACTGATGTGAATAAGAGTAGCACAAAACAGAGCTGGAGAACGTTGTGGTGAATTATACCCACTAAATGAACTTTTGAACAAAGGCTTTTAAAAATGCTTTTGCTGCACTTGATTTAAGCAACTCTGGAGTAATTTTCAGGGCGGCAGTCTATTTGGCACAACTTTGAAGAGAAAAATCCAAGCTTGCGTGATTCCTTGGTGTGACTTTTCTCAACAGACCATTCACTTCTTCCTTCGTAACTTCACAAGAAGGTTCACCTGTGATCAATGGCAAACTGACTGTTGCTCCCATGGAGGAGCACTTCTGTCTTGTTGGAAGAAATACAAATACAGTACATGATGTCAGCCCAGCTGATTACAATGTTATGCAAGCGTGCTTAACTGTGCTGGATTGTACCCAAAAGCAGCAGTACTCATGCCAAAGGCTGCACAAGCCAGGCTTCCTCTTCACTGGGGTCAGGGGAATCCACACTTTGCCAGCACAGCAATCCATGAGTTCCAGAAGCAAACAGACCGGGTCCACAAGTAATTTGGAAAACATCTATTCCATATAGTTTTTGTACAACTCATCTACTCCCTTCCCTTGCTTTTGCATCAATAGCACCTAAAGTCTCTAGCCGCAACCCAATGACAAATTGGGTGCCTGTAAGCTAACTAATATGAATGGATTTAGGGATGCTTAACTCTGGATTGTGCCCCCCTGTTCTTTTGAGTGTACAAGAGTCACTAATTGGATGCCTGACTTAAGTGTGACACTGGCAAAGGCAAGAGCTCACCAACACGTCCACACAGGCTTAACATTTCAGTTTGAACTTAAAATGCACAAGCAGTTATGCGGGCTCAGAGAGCATGCCAGCATAATAGCCACACGGGCTACGGATACCTGGTATGCAAAATAAATGCCCATTGCTGCTTTGTACAGGTTGCTGCAGAGTTTGAACGAGACTCTTGGAGCCCGTGCAAAATCACACAGGAAAGCTCTTTACCTTGCCAGCGTGGCATTTAAATCAAACCTCAATTTATTCCTAAACACAAAACCTGCATTTTAAGCCATGTATAAGGGGTGGTAGGGAGAGAATGGTGTGAAAATATAGTTTTAGTCACCATTCTGAGAGAGCCTAAGCTTCCTTTCGGATATACATTTTGAAGAAGAACAAGATTAAATCCAGTAGTTCAAAGTGCCATGCTACTGCATGGGTAAAGTTCCCCATGGGTTCGTTTATTCATTCTCCTCCCACCTCATTTCCAAGCACTCGGGAAAAGATGCAATTGTGTTTTTTGTATCTCCCCAGAAACGTTGAGGTAGGTTAGTCTACAAGACGGTGGCTTGTCTACAGGCAGCCAGGAAGCTTTATAGTTCCCTGGGGATTTGGATGTAGGACCTTTCCCCGACCCCCCCACATTCACTGTTATCTAGTTTATCAAGCTGGTCAGAAAAATATAACTTTCCAGCTCAATGGCAGCATTTGATTTTGAAAGGGAAAATCTCTTCTTTCATACAAGGCTCTATCTAAGACATAAGCAAAACCTTGTAACAAACCA